AGGAAAGAAGGCGCGTGGGGGATGGGGGAAAATTGTTTTTTTGGCTAAATTTGTCCCATCAAACACACACTTTGCATGAAAAATGAAAATTTTTTTCTAGTTCTAAGCAAAGTAATGGCTATCAAACATGGCCTAAGTCTATCTTATTCATCACGACTTTCTATCACATCCACTAGGATTCAAGTTCTGGGGATGCGATAAAAATTCGTGAAGGAAAAGATGGATAGATTCCTTCCAATACAGATAGCATGTATGATATAACAACTTGAGCACGAGGCCCGGATCGCTATAGTGAATATGAAGAGTAATTCAACATTTCATTTTCCTACCACTTTAGAGCTACCTTTATTATTTACCAATATTTAATTGATTTTTGATAAGTCTTGAATAGACACTTACCGTATGAGATATGAACAATAGCACGTGTTATATACCACCATCACATAACTTTGCCTTTGATGGCATTAATTTTGCTCACTATAGCAACATTGTCATCATTTTCAACGGAGTTCACCTTCTTTTCTTGCTTTGGTAGCTTGTTGTGCCTGCAATTCAAGCATAATATTGACCCCAAAAAATGTTGCCAACAGATGTCGGGCTCACTCGTGTACACGTAAGCTAAATCTAACACGTTAGTGCCGATCGACGGTCAGAATATCTTCAGAATCTGAACGTGAGAGGAGCTCAACGACACGAGACGTCTCCATTCGGGCCTCCGGTGAGATAACTAGAACACGATTGTATAAGAAACCAATCGATAAAGAGCAAGATTTGCAATTGAAATATGCTGATAAATGAGAGAATTATATAGCTCCAATTAGTAAGAATTTCATTCAGAATTTGCATTAGCCCTATTGTGTTACATGGTGGGGGGGTACTTATAGTGTTACAAATAAAATGGTGACCTTTAGATCAAGTTACACGTGGCCTCATCTCCTCGACCAAGACATCAAGTCCTAACTATCAAGTTAACTCTCCTAACCTTACAAAACATTAAATGTTCTTACATTGACAAGAAAAGACACAAATGTACTTTATACAAAAGTCACGTCAATTATTGAAATAAAGACCTTCATTATTACTATATCTTTTCACGTGGATCTCCACTAGCTGCAACAAAGGGGTCTCGGATAGTACATGTCCACCGAACCGTGGCTTAACAATAATGGCCTCGGAACAAGTTAAGGCCTCAGAATCCATGTCGGAGGCTAGGAAAATATACTCTAATTTAATTAGGTTGGTCCCATTGTTAAAATATGGTGCCACGTGTCGCTTCCGTTTATGACTCGTAAAACATAATAATTAGGTTGTCCATGAACAAAGCAAGAACTATTAGGCTTATTTTTTTAACTTCCCTTAATCATTTTTAGAACCAAGATATTTCCATTTATTTTGATTTTTTTTAAATTGGTGATTTTCACAATGGCATTGATCTTCGAAGTGTCCTCATAATAGTTTTCACTCTCAAGATCTACTCCAAAGAGAAATCTTAGGACTTGTGAATAATTCTTTACATGTAGCCTTTCCAAGTTAATGGCCATTTAGCAATTATTGTACCAACTTAAAAGTACTTAGGAAGTTTGATTTTAACCGCAATCAACGTGTTGACAATTATTTGCAATTCATGCACCTGAGCCAACAACATAATATTCCAAAAACTTAAAAGTCAAAATAATTAGAGTGTGTTTGGTTTGTAATTTCAAGATATTTTTAGTTTTCAGTTTGTTAAACATCAAAACTTGTTTGACATAATATTTTGGAAAATACATTGGTTAAATTTATAATATAAAACTTAAATTTCATTTTTGACGTTTTGAGTATTTTCAGTAAACAATTGAAAATATTTAAAACATGAAAAATAAGTGTTTGAATAAAATTTTATTATATAAGATCCTAAAATATTAAAATTTTGAAAACAAAAATAATAAAAATTCAAAAAAAAAAAAAGATAAAAAATAAAAACTTTATAAATTCTAAAATGTAAAAGCACAAAAGTTTTGAAAAAATAAATTCTTTAAAAAAAAAAAACTCTGAAAAATTTTAAAAATATATTGTAAAAAAAATTAAAATAGTTCATGCTCTTAATTATTATTTACATATAAATTCTAAAAAATATATTTAAATTAACAATGGATAAAAATTCTCAATCTACGTCATTAGGTTTTAATTTTAATTTTTTCCTATGTTTTGCCAACTCAATTTATAATTTTTTTTTATTTTTACTTTGCGACAGAAAAAAGTATAGCAAGATTTACCAACTTTAAAATATACATATATTTTACTTAGTACTATATTACTGAATAATCAATATTCACGAAATAAAATGATTCACAAAATTTCAAATCAAACGTAGTTTCTATTTTCACATTTTCTATTTTGAGAATGATAAACTAAATGCGTTTTCATCAAGGATTATGCTACATGTACCGAATTTTTATATCGAATCTTTTACATCCCACTCACATTAGGAGGTGTGGACCACAAGCCGAAATTTTTAAATACACATGCGGCCCATGCGCATTGATAGAGGACGGACACCATTCGGTACCCCCCATTCGGTACAAGAAGATTAATTCTTTCAGCAATATTAAAACATACTCTAAAAAACAGAAAACTAAAAATGAACTCAAAACTGAAAACTGAAACACACACAACATAAGCCCTAATTAGTTTTGATGTAAAANCAAACCAAACGGTCCCTTAGAAATTAAGCATATATTTGTCTCCCATTTTTTAAAATTTATTTTTCTTTAAATTTATTTTCAACCACATATTTCATGGGATCTCTAATTTTTCAAACTCATTTTATCAACTTTTATCAAAATCTTATTTAATCTAAAATCTTTATTGGACATTCCTCCTTGAATTTGTATTCATTCCCAAGCTTAGGAAACACATTAGGATGTAGTTTCTTGTTCATTTATTCTTTCAAAGATTACTCTTGTATAGACTGATTCAATAATTTTGCTTTAGGCCTTTATCTCTATATTTCTGTAATCTTTTAATCTTTTGAGCGAAATGATATCAACAATAATTAATTTCATGCATGCACAAATGAAGTGCACTTGACTTCCCCTGTGATATATTCGTGATGTACGTATTAGAGTCCCATATTGGCTAGTGATATTAATACGATCTACTTAATAAGATGAAAGCGATCCTCACCTAATAATCCGACTTTATTAGGTTGAGTTAGACACAATATCCTTTCTAATATGGTATCAGAGCAAACCCAATTTTGTAATTTTGGGTATACCTAATATCGATTTGTTCATAATTGTTTGATATGGTCCACGCTGTGTGTGAAGGGGCGTATTCGAGTCCCACATTGACTGGTGATATTAATACAATCCACTTAATAAGATAAAAGCAATCCTCCCCTAACAAGCCAGTTTTATTAGGTTGAATTAGACCCAATATCCTTTCTAATAGTACGTCTCTACTATCATTTTCAATACAAAACGATGACACGATTCTTTATCATAACTCCCACCTACCACTTAAGTATTTGTTTCTTTGCGAACATGTCACACACTCATGGCATTACTACTGCAAAAGCCATGTTCGATCTATTTCTTTATTTCCCAACAGACCATATGTTTGTAACAATAGGGACAGAATTGTAACATAATATTTTAAATATATAGAAGGTACAAAATCCATTTGAATACAATACTTTTTATTCTAATTTTTCCTTCTCGTGTTGAGGGTGGGGTGCAACTCTAACTTTCTGCATCGGTCCACTTAGAGCCCAATGACATTTATTCTTCGTTGTGAACTAACATTTGACCTATCAAAAAACATAAATCAAAGTTTAGAACCTGCTCACAAATTCATGTTCCCTAGAGCACATGCATGCGAATTTAGTTACATACATGTATACAAACATATACACACACATTATAATGCCTATATACACAAGTGAATTATATAATGGGGGCATATGATAATAAAAAGAAATTAAAATAGAACCTTAATGTTCAAAG